AGACCATTGATGATTATGTGTCACGAACTAAGGATTACGATTAATCCAATTCTGTGTACTCAAGTTCAGAGAGAAAAGATACTAGCAATAGCAACACATGCTTACTGTGTACTGGGCACTGTTCTCTTTTTTTTTTAGAGTAATAATTTTTTAAAAAGTATTTCTTTATTTATTTGGTTGCACTGGGTCTTAGTTGTGGCAGGCAGGCTCCTTAGTTGCTGCAGGCGTGTGGGATCTAGTTCCCCGACTAGGGATCGAACCTGGGCCCCTGCATTGGGAGCGTGGAGTCTTGTACACTGCACCACCACCAGGCATCTTCTAAGCTCTTTAATACAGTCAGGTGACCCACGGTTGGTTGAATCCAAGGATGCAGAACCTGTGGATACTGAGGATCAACTGTATGTTTTAACCCATTTAATCTTCCCAGTAAAGAGGTTCTATGATTATTCCCATTTTACAGATGAGAAAATAAAGGCCCAGAGAGATTAACAGTAACTCTTGAGACCCACAGCAGAGCTGGGATTTAATCCAGGCTGGCCAGAGTTCATGCTCTTAGACACTGCCCTATAAAATGTCTAAATAAATGAAAGAGATAATTGTATTAGGGCTTAGTCATGTAGGAGAAATTATAACAGAGGCTTTCTGTAACAATGTTAAAGGATGAACCACATGCACAGCTTTTTAAGTATACTAAACACCACTGAACTTTATGCTTTAAATGGGTGCATTTTATGGTATGTAAATTATATCTTAATAAAGCTGTTTTTAAAAATTCTACAAACCACAAATAAGTGACTTTATAATGCAAACTGTGTCCCAAATGATTGTTTGCTATTTTAGGGATTTCATATATGTCTATGGGTAAAATACACACTTTTTCTGCAGAGCAAACAAAACAAACCTTACTGTTAGGAGACCACTCACTTTATGAAAGAAAATGAAGCAAAAAATTTTAATCCACTACTGTGAGTGGGAAATTTTTTTTTTTTAATTCCCAGCTTCAGGCCTTTTTGCATCTGCCAGGGAAATCAAAGGGCTCTCGGCTCCCAAGATAAATTTCATATTGCAGTCATAATTGTCTCTGTATGTATTGAGGATACACAAACAGTAAAACCTAGGAAGGAAGAGGGTGGAAAGAACACATTTGATTGAAAACATACTGGTACCTTTTAATTGCACAGCTTTCTTCCATGCACATAACTTTTATTTTGCTTTCCTTTTTAATCTAAAACTGATTTTAAAGGAGATGGAGAAAGCACTGCATTTAGACAGCTAGTTGTGGCCAATCTCCTGCTGGGTGCATCCTCTAGGGCCTTTGAGTTGTACAGCTCCAAGGGGCCAACACTGACACCACAATGGGCAATGGCAGCTTTTCCTCAACACCATTTCTTCGTTTTCGACAAGGCACTAAAAGGAGAGATCAACATGCTGCTATGATAGCTTGGTAGCTTAACTCTGTTTTCAGGACCGCTGAAAGATCCTCCTCACGGTCAGTTATCCTCACAAATCTGGCCATAGATCACAAGGAGACCAGATGAAAACCTGGACTGGACCTCAACAACTCGCTCACCAACACAAGAAAAAGTGTTTAGTCTTGGCCCTCTAAACCATGGGTCACTTTTATCCTCTCTCAGCTCTCTCTAAAGTGCATGTGTGAACACAGGCTGATATAACCTCACTAAGCCACTTCATACTTTAAAAAACACAGAGAAAATGAAAACAAAATAAATCACTTATTTTAAGTACATCTTGGATCAACATATCATTATTCAGTTCTGTCCTACCTACACACACACACACACACACACACACACACACACACACACACACACACACA